GTGGTTGTGGTTGTGGTTGTGGTTGTGGTGGTGGTTGTGGTGGTGGTGGTGGTGGTGGTGGTAGTGGTGGTGGTGGTGGACGTTGTTGGTGGTGCTGCTGCTGGTGGTCGACCTCTTTCTGTTGAGAAACCTCCGAGCATTGCTAAGGGTTGACAAACTGTCTGACAAACCAGTCTGAAAGTTGATTCGTAAATGCCTCACATATACCCCGTATAGACTATATGCAAGGCACCGGTCTTAGGTTGGAGGCTCGTAGGTTGGAGGCCATCACTCTTAGGTTGGGGGCCATCGCTAGTAGGTTGGAGGACATCATCCAAGTCCAAGTCCGACCGGCGAGCGCCCCCCGTGGTCGCGGTCGTCTCGCTCTCGCGGTCGGCTCAGTCCAGGCGCTCATTTGCCCCGGAGCGCAGTCGGTCTGCGCAGCGGTCGCCACCGTCCAAGCCAAGGAATTCTCCACCTCGCGGTCGTCCACGTCCGCGCGAAACGAGCGGTGAAGCCGGTGAAGCCCGACACCCGAAAACAATAGAAAAAGCAGGAAGACGGTAGCTTTTCTTTCAGGACATGTTTGTCTTCGAGTCAAAGCGAAAATGCAGTTCTACAAGAAAGCAAGACTCAAAGCTTTTGGATAACATGTCCTCACCTTCGCGACGATTGAGGCCACGAGAAAAGGCACGAGAAAAATAAGCCCGCAAGTGTAACGGAGATGAAACCACTTTTGTTGGGCCTCTCTGTTTGAAGCCAAAGAAACAAATGTCCAGGAGCAGGATACAATCAATTCACTTCTCAGTATGTTTCATAGATTCATAAGTATTGCGTGACCAACCTCACTTCATCAGCAGTTCCACACGGAATACCCCCATGCCGATGCCGGCCTTCCGCAAATCCCGGCAGGAATCAAAGGCTATGGCCTCCTGGACCCCTGAGGACTTGTCTAAGACCTGCAACGACTCACAAACTTCAGACCACCGTGGAGGCACTTGGAGATCTTCGATGCAAAGGGTGTCTTCGACGTGGCATGTGATTTATTGTTCAATGCTGCCTAGCGAATATCAGGTAAAGGCCAAGATTCCAAGACGCAAAAGAGCCTTTCTTGTTGAAGTTGTTCGCGCGAACCCAGTCGGTATTCGTTGGACATGCTTCTACTTGTGGGCATACTCTGTTTCGAGAGAAACCAAATATATATGTGGGTCTTTGAGTTTCCACAGTTCACACACCCGATCAAAAGAAAAACATCCGATCTAGAAGTATTCAGGAACCCCAGATTCGACAGACGAGAAACATGTGAAGTAAAGATCAGAGAAGTCACATTCCTCCTCTGGCCTTGTCAGCAAAGTCGTTGGTTAACCTCAGCTGGAGTCATTGGTTTTTACTTCGTGTCCTTTGCCTTTGGGATCAGCTGAAAGGATTGCAGCTGTGATGCCGTGCTTTGCTGGGCTATGACGCTTTAAGCGAGCCAACAAGTCTTATCAAACTAGCAGAGTCCAGTGGCACAAGGGAAATGACCAATTGCATCTGCACCCAGTGCTCGTAGAAGATGTGGCAAGCACAACTGTCGATGGGGAAATCCTGAGCTGTTTGGCAAACTTGCACTCTTTTGTCCATGATGCCTTGCATGGTCTCATCCGAGCAGCATATTGACCAGTGACATGCTGCAAAAGAAGCAGCCAAAGGGCAAGCCACATTGCAAGGAACACATCCAGAAGAATCGCTGCAAGTCATGAATTCAATCTTTGTAGTTCTGCAAGCTTTGCACTAACAGAAATTGTTGCATCTTTCCCGTGTTGGTACTCAAAGCTTTGCACTTTAGAACTTAGACTTAAACACACCAAAATATGTTGGTTCCTATTTATTGCCCAACTCCTGCATCATGTGCTCGAGCATTGCCGGCACGAGGATCAGAAAACTAGCACAACCCAAAATTGTGCATACCTGTTGTAATGACCAACACTCGGTTCAATATGACCGGACCAGTATTAAAGTATTGTGCCTGCAAACATGCTGAACATATCTGAACATGACTCTGGGCCAGTCCCGGTACATTCTCATCAGAGCTTGCAAAGTCTGGCCTTGTTGGTTCTCTTCCGTCAACGACTCCTGCAGGAAGCTCCACAAATGTCCGTCAACTCTCCGTGTTGCGACTCGATGAGTCAACGCCTTTCCGTCCAGCGCCTCATCGAGGATGGTGGCCGTCAAGAGGATCCTGGCGGCTTAGCGGATGCTGAGGGCCGGGCCGGGGCCGAACGAAACGCCAAGGGGTGTGGAATTTCCTGTGGACCATGAGCTCCTCATGTGGTCCGGCCAGTGCTGAATATCTCAGTTCAGAATATGTCAGGGAGTAACAAGGAGACTGAAGAACCCAAACCGCTTCTCTGCCCGAGAAGGAGTGATGTCCAATGATCCTTGGAGGCTCCTGGCATCGGAAAGGAAAGCAACAGACGATTCCTTTCCACTCAGTTAGACCGAAGTGGCCACTCTTTCCTTTGTTGTGGAGCGGCAAACCCTCCAAGAGTCCCGGAACCCGGGTGTAGAGAATTCGAAACACCTGTTTCTTGTGAGGAAAACACCTGTTTTCTGCCCAACTCCCTGCCTCTCTTCAGAGGCAGCCATGGAACTGAATCCAGCGACTGAGCGATGAAGCCAAGGGAACGCGTTGAAGCTCGTTCTTCTTCGCTTTGAGCCAGCATGGCGGTCACGAGGTGTGAGAAAGCTAAGAGAGTATGAAAACCCTCGACAAAACTCACTCCCATCAATTGGTCGGATCTGTTCATCTCTTTCCGAACGTTTCTCATCTGTTCTTTGGGTCTGTGCATGCTCACGCATTACCTTCAAAAGGACTGGATACGCGAATACCCGCGACCCCACTATTGTTGGCCGAAACTCAACTTGGAAGAGCAGTTCACTGGCTAGGCCGCACCTGAGAACATCATAGGAGCGTCCAGGATAGTCCTCAACACGAGACGTGCGGAAACCGCGAGGAGAACAGACGGCGGAAACCGCAGCGGCCACAGCGGAAAGCTGCTGCGCAGCGGACAGGGTGTTTGGAGTGCCTCGATCATCACACTGATTAGCAGGTTCACGGACTCCAAGGACATCTCCGTATATCCCAGATGAACCGTCCTGGCAAAGCGAAATGAAGGTCACGAAGAACACAAGGCCCACAAGAAGTGCATCCCAATCATACTTTCAATTTGGGATAAGGATAACTTCGTGGCATAAGAGCATTCTGGATTGAAACAAGGGATTTTGGCTCTGGCTTTGTATAGCAGGTTGTTAGACTGTCATTAAATAAGGTAAGTAAATGTTCAGATCGTATGGAAATACAATGCCTTGTGAGAACAGGAGAACAGCCTTTGCAAATCCTATGTGGCTCGACATCTTAACCACACATCAGGAATCCCAAATCAGGAAGTACGAATTTGCAAGACTCCAAAATTAGACTGGAGATTGAAAGATCATGAAAAATCCCTTGAGCAGTTTCACACAAACCTTTGGGCTAGTTTCCCCAAACCTACTCGAGTTGCATCCGTTCCACCTAGGTTCCCGCGCTGCCGGAAGCTGTGGTTGGGATCCTTTCGTGGAGGCATCCCGACCACCCCAGGCCTCAGGATTCGGCTTTCAAACCGACCCGCTCATCCTGCGAACCGAAAAACGGTCGAACTCCGCGTTCCTCGCGTCGCGTTCCTGGGCGTCCCGTGCCGTGAGTCTCGGAAGGTGCGGCCATAGGACCACTCCAGGCCGCCGACCTCCACTCCCACGTGAAAAGCTCCACCCAACTTCACCTCAGCGCTGAAGCGAGAGAGCTACCTTCGAAACGTGAAAGAGACAGTTGCCACTAGTAGCAAAAAACTATTAGGTTGGAGGCCATCACTACTAGTAGCAAGAAGCTACTAGTAGTTTCTTGCTAAGTGTTAGTAGTAATGCCCTTGTTACTAGATGTTACTAGTAGCTGACAGGAAGAGGAAGGGGAGGCTCCCAGGAACTTGCTACCAGATTTGTTGGTAGTTCCCAGTGATGGGAAACATAGAAAAAAACAGGACCACATTGAAAGTCGCACAATTTTTTCTCGCACGATGGTCCAAAAGGGAAAATGCCCAGGCTGCTCAGAACAGACTTTGTGTGCTGAGCCATGTCTTCAAACTCCTGCAGCACTGCTACGACATATCGATCCAACGCATTGCTACCGTGCTTTTGTTTCCTGTTTGATTCACTAAAACTGCATTCAGAGTCGGAAGTTGAAGTAGTTAGTAGAAGTGTACGAACATTTGCCATCCACAGCTCATTATTTCAACAGGATCGCTTCGAGTCAAATTGACATAATGTCACACACACACACACTGCACCGCTTTTATAATGTTGATCTGGGTGTGTGCGGGTGTGTGTGTGTGTGTGTCAACCCCTGGGCCAAGGGTTTCCTACCGCCACTTCAACCCCCCCCCACTTTTTACCCACAGTTTCACCGGCAGGGGGCAGAGGGATCTCCAGTCGTGGCCTCTGCCAACGAAGCTCCACACTGGACGATCAGGAAAACGTACCTGCCACAACTTTTGCACAAGCTGTCCAATCTCCTTTTTTGATTCCATGGTGGTTCATGCTACTTCCCACAAGCCTTCCCACTTTCTCACGCAGCTGAATTGTACAGAGGCTCGCCACCGCACACCTGTCGAAACTTTGTTCAACAATACAGTTTTGCAGACTCATGCACCTTTCCGTTCCCTCACCTTCCTTCCCATCGTGGGAATCGAGATAACTGAATACAATTGTCGAAGTGTGTTTCGCTCAGCCGTCCCACTCGGGTGCTGAGTGTGATCCCCGTCATGGGGCGCTGTCTCATCGTGCAAGCACTAACTGACCTCACCACTCTTCACAGGAATCCCACTGGAAGTCACCTACACAACCACCGAATTAACTGCCACCACGGCCGCCGGGCCTCACCACGGGAACTGACGGTTTCAGAGTGTGCAACATTTGCAAGGTTTCTGAGTTGTTTGACGGCTAAGTATTCACATGTGCATG